CCCTGAAAGTTTCAGTCACTAATACGTAAGCCTGGCCTGTGGCCTGTAAACAAAGACCACATAAAGGAATAGTTTACCAGGCAAAAGTGGTTTTTATAACCCACTGTAGATTATGCCACTGAATATTATTTAGTCACTGCAAGGACAAATCAGGAAGGAATGTTTTTTCAGGTTACATTTGAATTTAAATTCAACTTAAATTACATTATGCACTCCCAAACAACTTTTTTATTAAAAATATTCCATTTCCCAAACTTCCTTCTGCCAAGACTTGGCAGCCAATGGAAAATTCATAAGCTTTGAACATCAAGCAAAGCCATTTGGCTTGGCTCTATAATTTGAGAACTTAGATCATTACTGCACTATGGTAGCAGAAATCCTTCAAAGCTGCCTGATCATGTAACACACACGCACAAGAGAAACACTGGTGCTCTTTATTCAGTTTGCTTACATGTTTATAGCTAACACCTTGGAATGGATCCATCAGGCAAAAGAGAGGCTTAAGCTGGATGGAAAGTTTCCCCTTCAAAGTCTCTGTGGGGAGTTAGGGGAGAGATTTATTTTCCCTCAGGAAGGGAGACAGCACACCAGCCAGACTTGTCAGTCGCAATAGTCAACACCTTGGAGCAGCAGAAGGGGAAGAAGGAGGAGAGGAGGCACTGAAAGCAGAACAAGTAAGAGATCGTGCAACGGTTTATCAGAACAAGGTCAGCAACAGCAGAACAGATGTCCGAGATGCCTTTTGCCATGTTACCAACATTGCTGACATATCTCAGCTGGTTTCCATAACAATGCAAGGTCCTGCCCGGCTCGTTGTGCCAAACCAAGAAGGCTTTCACAATGCCAGCTTATAGAGATGCCACAGCTGAGTGGCTGGGCTGGCGGGAGAAAAGCAGACATGACTCACTGGCAAGCCTAAGGACAATGAGTGCCTGAGATTTTTATTTTTTTTACCTACAGGAGGAATGAAAGCTTCAAAAGAAGAAGAGGAGGACATTGAAAGTGGCAAGTGGGAAGAACGCAGCCAGTGACCAGCCATTGCATGACACAACATGCACATGCAGTCAGGCAAAATGGGAGGGAGACTGCAAGCCTTGAAAATCCAGAAAGCACAAAGTTACCTGTAAGGTTTGGTAGTAGCAAGTGGAAAGGAGAGATGCAGACACTTGGAGGCGGCACAGAGGTGGCTCTACAAATTCTTAACTATACTTGGGATGCAACCTCCCCTTCCCTCCTCCTTTTCACATTAAATGAATCTCCTGTATCCTTCACCAAGCAATAGCTCGGGAAGAGGCAACTGACAACAGTGATGCCTTTTGGTGGAACAGTTGTCGGGATGGGGGATAATATAATAATATAAATTTATTATTTATAACCTGCCCATCTGGCTGGGTTTCCCCAGCCACTCTGGGGGGCTCCCAACAGAAAATTAAAAGCATTATAAAACATCAAATATTAAAAACTTCCCTAAACATGGTTGCCTTCAGATATCTTCTAAAATTCAGGTAGTTGTTTATTTCCTTGACATCTGGTGAGAAGCGTTCCACAGGGCGGGCGCCACTACCCAGAAGGCCCTCGTTCCTTGTAACTTTGCTTCTCGCAGTGAGGGAACCACCAGAAGGCCCTTGGAGCTGGACCTCAGTGTCTGGTGTCCGATGGGGTGGAGACGCTCCTTCAGGTATGCTGGACTACAACTCCCATCATCCCACACCACTGGCCATGGTGGCTGAGGCTGATGGGATTTTGAGGCCAACAACATCTGGAGGGCTTTATGGGTAATCCAACTGTAGGGGGTGGCTCCTCAAACCAAAGACACTACAGAGGGATGTGTGTGTAGAAATCCCCGACAGTTGCCTCAGAACTGTCAGAGACTGTCAGAAAAAGAGTGGGCTGAGAGTTTCTAGTTTGGAACTAACTGAAACTGAGCCTTGGGGGTGGGGTCAGCTTAAGTGGCCCTCTGGGGATCTGCTGCCTGTCATAGGAGTGACTGTATGCTTCTACAGTGCTTTACTTGTACATTTGCAACTAAAAAAGAGAGGAGATCATCCAAAGAGGAAAACTAAACCCTTTAGCGCTGTCCCCGGAACTTCTCATTGCAGGGAGCAGGGAGCATATTATTCAAGAGTTCAGTTGCTATCTAAGGAAAACCAAGTTAAACATATACTTTGTCTCTAAGGTTTTTTGGTTCAAGGCCCCCAACCATCTCTTTGTACAGTGGTACCTCTGGTTACATACTTAATTCGTTCCGGAGGTCCGTTCTTAACCTGAAACTGTTCTTAAGCTGAAGCACCACTTTAGCTAATGGGGCCTCCTGCTGCCGCTGCGCCGCTGGAGCACGATTTCTGTTCTCATCCTGAAGCAAAATTCTTAACCTGAGGCACTATTTCTGGGTTAGTAACCTGAAGCGTATGTAACCTGAAGCATATGTAATCCGAGGTACCACTGTATTTGAAATAACCCAAAAGCCCCAGCAGACACTCTTTGAGGGGCTGTGCCACACTGTATACAGCAGGGGTCAGCAACCTTTTTCAGCCGTGGGCCGGTCCACCGTCCCTCAGACCATGTGGTGGGCAGGACTATATATTTTTTGGGGGGAAATTAACAAATTCCTATGCCCCACAAATAACCCAGAGATGCATTTTAAATAAAAGCACACATTCTACTCATGTAAAAACAGGCTGATTCCCGGACCGTCCATAGGCCGGACTGAGAAGGCGATTGGGCCGCATCCGGCCCACGGGCCCTAGGTTGCCTACCCCAGTATACAGCAAAAGCCCAGTTCTCCCCCCCACCTCACCCTCTCTCTCTATAATGCAACAGGGACATGGCTAAAACCGTTCTTCCTGACATTTAGTTCTGTTCCGTTTTTGTCTGGAGAGGTGGCTTTTTAAGATGATGGAGCATACTACTGCATGAGCCCCTTTCCATACCCTGATGTGGTACAGCCCAGATGCAGGTTTGTCACAGTTTTAGCACTGGCATCAACTTCCCAGTTTTTGTTCTAATTACCAGCTTTATTCCTCCCTGTCCAACAGCATTCAGAGTTACAGCGACATGCCACAGCTAGCAGCCACTTCCCACCCTTCTCAAATATATTCTGTCACGCAGGTGCCAAGCCAAGAATTGAATCAGCTCCAAAAACAATAGCAGGACAAGGGCCAATCCTAGGAATGGGAAGCAGGCGAATTCTAAAGAAAAATCCTACCTCCCCTCCTAGCCTCGCCCCAAGGAATACATGGGGAATCCCTGCCTACTGGAGAAGTTTCATTCAACAAGTCCCAACACAGCTCTCTCCGAAGCCTACCCAGGCAGCACCTGTTTGCACTGTTCGGTAGCCAGAAGGCTTAAGGGCAATTACAGGGTGACATTCCTTACTCATGCTGGCCCAAGGACAAGGATGTTTCAGAGCATCACATTACCAGAAACAGCGAAGGGAGAGTATATTATTTTGAGCTGGAAACACATAATAAGAGGGAACAAAACCAAGACACAAACCGACAATTCTAGGAAAAAGGCCGGGTGTCACCTCGATTCCCAGTGAAAGCTGCCGTTGAACAGAGCCCACTTAAATTATGGAGCTAAATTAGCTGGTAGATTTACATTACACCTGTGTGCACGTGCAGATAACATGTATGCATGTGCAATAAAAATATTACACATATGTACTCAGTGAAGCCAAGGGCCATACAGTGCAAGAGACTTAGTCTCAAACATGTCTGGGCAAAACTCAAAGTGTGTATACAAGTATGACGAGCCCCACCCTCACAAATGCAGTAACAGGCAATGAAATAAATTAGCAGAACAGAGATAGGATGATTATCATGAGTTATTGCCATTGTGAATAATCTCTGTGCTTGTATACATTTTGGGCTTTATGCAGATGTGGCACAATGTTATTGGAAGGATTTAAAAGAAGAAGCCAGGACCTTGACATTTGATACTATTGTTTTTAAATAAATAAAAACTGAACAAGGCAAACGCTCCAGAATTAAAACAAAGACTGTGCTGCTGCAGACCTGACGGTGATCACAAAATTTCACTGTGTAATTAAATGAAAGTTTGTTTTTGTTTTCAATATCCTTCTCCATTTTTTGGTACAGTACTCCAACTGCACTTTCCAAAGGAGTACTGTACCAGGGCAGAGCAGGGGTGGGTGTGGGTGTGAGGTAGGAACACACTCTTAATTTCCAGCATAAATAAAAAATAGAGATAGGAATTAGTGACTTCCTTGTCTTGTAAAAAGGGACAGCACAAACTAGGGGGGACAGCATTTCATTCTCTGCTATCCAAAAGACAAAATATGTACAGTACCATATTAAAATACACACAGCACTCCTTGAGAGATTGATTGCTTTATTTTGATGGAGTACACCTGGTAAGTTTCGGTGCACTTTAAGAAAAGCAGTTTCTAAAATCCTCTGGGGGAAAGGACACTGGGTGACAGCCAACTTTAGTTGTACTCCAAGTCACAGCGCTGAAATTAATGGACATGACTTGGGTCCATTAGTTTTAATGCATTTACAACCCACTGCAACCAAAAACGAGCAGCTAGCATCAATAACTTGGAGGAAAGCTTTAAAACACTTTTGACAACTTATTTGGAACATATTTGAATACCTCTTTTATTTCCAAGCCCAATAGCAAAGTGGCCATTGTCTAGGCCCCATCACCAGGAGGTCTAAGTTTGCATATGAAACCAACACCTGAGAGTCACACACACCAAGTTCTGTAACAGTTGTTTGCAGCCAAGTGGAACATGCACAATCTAACCTGCTTTTTCTTACGCACATAAAAATGAAGTTCAAAACCGGCTGCCATCTGTGGGACACATCACAGAGCTGTGCCACAGAATAAAAATAATAACATGGTTTTTAGAAATTTGTTAGCAACAGAATATTAAGACCTCAACCTAGAAGTCTCTCTAATGAGCTAGGAAACTGTGTGGAAGTGAGTACACTATGAACCAGAAGACAGAAGTGAGGGAGGCTAGTCTAGCAGCGATGAAGGTGAGTTTCATAGATAGGTAAAGGTAAAGGTACCCCTGCCCGTACGGGCCAGTCTTGACAGATTCTAGGGTTGTGCGCCCATCTCACTCAAGAGGCCGGGGGCCAGTGCTGTCCGGAGACACTTCGGGTCACGGGGCCAGCATGACAAGCTGCATCTGGCGAGCCAGAGCCGCACACGGAAATGCCGTTTACCTTCCCACTAGTAAGCGGTCCCTATTTATCAACTTGCACCCAGGGGTGCTTTCGAACTGCTAGGTTGGCAGGTGCTGGGACCGAACAACAGGAGCGCACCCCGCCGCGGGGATTCGAACCGCCGACCTTTTGATCGGCAAGCCCTAGGCGCTGAGGCTTTTACCCACAGCGCCACCCGCGTCCCGCCGCCACCCGCATCCCGCCATAGATTCATAGATAAGTTTTCAGCTAACCAATTTACACCAGGTATCTAATAATCCAGACACCACAGAAACAATAAAAATATCAGTCATTGTTTTAGAACCAGCTGCACAGAGTTGAATGTAGGGTCCCAAAATAAATTGTATGATCCCAGCAGACTCCAGTTGGAGAGACTAGGATCCCAGTGCCCCAATAAAACAAGATAAAGAAGTTCAGCTTACTATTGCTGTCAAAACCTGATGCTATGATGGAGACCAGTGCCACTTGGCAACAGAAGCAATAAATTTTAATCCTAGCTTGCTACTCCTGGTGCCCAGAAATAATAATAGTAATAATAAAACTCTGCCTGTCTTGTCAGTTTTAAATGGATGGTCATACCTGCTCATTGCTGGTACTGAGGTCCAAACGCTGGAGCGCCTATCTGGCACCAGGGGACTGAAGACTTGTTTGAACACATTGAGGCAAGTTGTATTGTTCCCCTTCAGCAAAAGACATTCTTTCTTTGACAACTGGCAGGCTGCAAAACCATCTCCACAAAGAGGAAGAGCCAAGTTTATTTTTTTTAACTCAGTGTATGTTTTGCATACAACCGACCCTTGCCTCAGTTTGCCTGCATGAATGTATGACAAATGCTGAAAAACAGTTCACACTTTTTTAATCTGACCAAATGAGAATGCCTCATTGTGGCTTCTCAGTATATATTCTTTTTGCTTCTAAAACTAAAAAGAAAAAAACCACTGAACTTAAAAACCCAAATGAAAAAGTAGGCAAGGTAATAAAGATATCCTTCAGAAAATAAGGTTTTTGGCGAGGACTTTGAGGAAAGAACTGGGTTTTAAACATTCAGGGTTTAAATTGGAATATTTGGAACAAAGATTTCACTTGAACCACATTAACCATGGAAGGTTGGGAAACTTTGACTGAAGAAGGTAGGATTCCTTCCAGTACTGCCATCCTAAGTGTTGAAAATGAGGCAGAATTGTCACTTTATTGAAAAGCTGTTAGCATTTTGCTACCTGAAGTGGAGCAGCAAAAGTGTCCCTTCCCAGAAAGCCAAGGTACGTATTATCTGAAACCAAGCCAAGTTATTTTAGTACCCCAGACAGAAAATCCCACAAGTGTCTCTCCACCGCCCTGATAGTAAAAACACAACATCATAACAAGCTAGCCAAGCATTTACTACTGCCTCTTCATGGCACCCAAAATCAGCGCCTGAAGTGGCCACCTTACTCTTTCTAATGTCCCGTCAAAGCTCCTTCCCTCCCCAACATAGGTCATCGTAAAGCACAGTTAAATACAGTCAGCACAAAGAACTGACCTTTTAAAAAAAAATGTCACTGACAACAGCTATTTCTGGAAGAATGAAATGTAGGAAGTGAACTCACATACATTCATCACTGTTGTGCAATACGCCCGCAGCTGGTTTCAAAGAACTGCTTCTTGCCCAGTCTCCTTTCCTATCAAGCGTCTCCTTGTCACCCAGGCGTCATCACCAAGGTCCTATTCCCGATGATGATAACAGACTATCTGGGCGGCAGCAAGGGAGGCTCATCAAAGGCGGCTTTCAAATGCATATGGAGGTTTCTTCTTTTTTTTTCCAGGAAAGGGGGTGGGGTGGAACCCATTCATTTGCAATTTTCAGTGTGGTTAAATCTGTGGTAGTGATGTCAGTGCTAGTGTTTCAACGCACTCCTCCCAAGACTGTGTATGTACACATTTCTGGACACAGCAGACCTCCACAGTCAGCTTTCCCCATCATCTTACTGCTTCTGCTTTGTACTGCCAAACACTGGAGTTGCAAGGAAAATATTTCATGGGGATAGCCAAATTGTGACTTGTGGACCAGAGCGAGCTCCCAAATTCATTGGGCAAACAAGGGTATGGTTTAGCAATGGCTTTTAAGGCCCCCGTGGAGTATAATCAGCAATGGAAGGATTTTCTACCAGGAATAAGTATAATTAATTTGAATGCTAATATATGCTGTGGGGCTTCAGATAAATGTTTCTCCAGCCAGTGTGGTCAATGGGCAGGGATGATGCGAGTTCTGGCAGCAAAATATCTTTGGGCAGCGGTGAATGAATGCCAAAATTAAAGAATTAAAAGGGAAATGTTACAGAGCAGTAAAACCTACTAGGGCCAACCGGGTGGTTTAGAAAACACACAGGTGGGCAAGAGCTATCCAATAAGAGAGAGAAGCTTTCTACCACAGTGTGACAAAAGAAATTGGCAAGACTGAGTGACATAAGCCAGTCTTTCTGGGCTCATGGAAAGGCCAACAAGGAGGAATGGTGGCGAGAACACCAGTTTCCAAGCAGACCTGCCTGTTCTCCTTGGACTGAAGCAAGAAGCAGCATTCCATAAGCTATTCCATGGCAAGCACAAGAATATGCCATGCCTGCAATGCTGGTAGTGGCTCAAAGACTGCCAGCCATGGCAATTCCATTGTTGCCCCAGTCTGCAGTGCAGCCACACTCTCGTTTTAAGAGGGCCATTTCTTACTTCAGGAGGAAGAGAGATACCAAGTACAAGAGGGGTGAGTTCTGAAAAATAGGAAAACTTTTAATAATGTATTAAATTGCTCAGCACGTTTCAGAGGAACCTTCCTCAGAGACACAAGAATTCAGTTTGTTGTTATTCTGGTAAGGCAAAATTGCTCAGCTAATTGAATTCTTATGCCCCCAATGAAGGTTTGCACCGAAACATTAAGGTTCCCTATATTATTTTTCAATGCCATTTTGCGGCTTGCCACCCCCAGCTCTTATTAAAGAACATTACAGCCAAAAACTTTTAATGGGGCCACAAAGAGGACTCTATTCTCAGTGAACTCAAATCCGATACTCCCAAGACAGGGATGGTTTTATGCTTCTGAAGAGAATCTTGTGACAATGTCAAGGTCTCACTAATTCCTCATCAGTAAGTAATTATTGGTATATTTTACACACACAGAGTTTTAACTCGTATCAACATTTACTTGTTTTCAAATGATTTTCCTCTCTGTTTTCAGCTGTTCCTATTTTTATCTGTAATCCGCCTTGAGTCCCTGTTAGGGAAATATAAATATCTAATAATGTTAATGTTAATGCCCTACTAGAATGCTGTGTGTTCCAAAATGCAGCTGGCAGCAACATGTTTCCTTAGCCACTACCATTGCCTCGCCCCCTGCTTCTGCTTCCTGCGAAAACAAGACACAGCAGGAAATAGCCAAGAGATAGGATGAGAAAGATGACAGAGGCGTGGGAGTGGGAAGAAAGAGGTCTGAAACAACCAAGGCAAGGCCCGAGTACAGCAGAAGGCTCATGGGTGTGGGGGGCAAGAAACAAGACTGGCTTACGTCTAACTTTACCCTAATCAACAGAAGCCATGCCCCAAAGGACAGCACATAAACATAACACAGAGCAAGAGGGAGCAGGAGGGAACTACACCAGGACAGAAGCGCCATCAAAGTAATGGACTCTTTGAGGGAATCCCAAACAGCAAGCACTAAATAGAGACCATCCAGCACTGAGGTGGGGAACCTTTTTCAGACTAAGGACCACATGGTGGCAGTGAAGGCATATGCCAGTGATTTATGGGCTGTGGCTGCTGAGGAGGCCAGAGACCACCTTGGCTGTGAGTCCTGGAAGACCTTGCAGGCCTTTTCCCACTGGCCTTGGAGGGTGGGCCCTGACTGACTGCAGCTACAACAGCTGGGGTGCTGTTTGGGGGTCTTTTTGGGGGGTCAGGGCAGAGGAGATTATTGCTGTTGTCTTTTTGTATCTTTATTTTAGACCTTGTTTTGATTCATGTGGAAATTGTTCAGTTTGGTTGTGTATTTTTAAAAGCTTAATTTATTGTTTACAGCTACTTTCGTTACGTTGTGGTCACGTATTTGTTTCATGTTGTAAGCTGCCTTGAGCATGGTTTGAACTGTGGAAAGGTAGCATGCAAATAAAAATTATGTATGTGGGGCCAGAGGCAGAAGAGGTCAGAGCTGTAAATGCGAGCTTTACCTGTGCACTCAGTGGGGTAGTTCCTTAACACACGCTCTCTCATAGCCCTCCATCCTCCACCCAGGAAAGCAAACAGCTTTCTCAGATTCCAAGGACCCATTCTTGCCAAGGAGAGTGAAAAGAAGGGCTGGAGAGGGGGCATGGCTCAGAGGGGTTTATCACTTGACTCCTAAGGGCCACAGAGAGGGGCCTGGAGGACCGCAATTGCCCTCTTTACCCGAGGCTCCCCATTGCTTCCCTAAAACTGATAAGAACCATAATATTGTAGAGTTGGAAGGGACCACCAGAGTCATCTAATCCAAATTCTTGGATTGCAAGAATCTTTTGCCCAATGTGAGGCTTGAACTCGCAACCCTGAGCTTAAGAGTTTCATGCTCTGCTGACTGAGCTATCCAGCAGCTGCAGAACAAAAACCATATTTTCTCCCTGGACTCCAACTATTTGTAACCTGGAAGGTTATACCGTCCTACCTACTAACATTTAATGCGGGGTTGGGGGGGGAGGAGGGAGAGAACAAGCTCACGTCTTTGCTTCTCATTAAGAAAAGGAACAGATCATGGAGGTGGTGAGTGAATCAGCCGAGGAAGAAATTTTAATGAGGCCCAGTGGTGTGCAATA